TTTATATCTCTTCTGAGTTATCCTGTGGTGATTTTATAGTACTCAGATCTTGCTTCCTTAAATTTCTCTATCCTGGAAGAACATTTTCTGTTTCTACAGGGTGCACACTGTACCCTGGTTCTGTGAAAATAACAATAGCATTTTTCTGTGAGATAGACACAGAAACAGGAAATTAATTTTGGGTTTTTCAGTTATTTTTTTGCTGGGCAATAAACCAATCCAAAGTGCAATGGCTTATACTGGCAACAGCTTATTATTTTATGAGTTGACTTAGCTCATATCACTAGTTTATTCTTGGTGACATTAGTTGGGGTCTCTCATTTGACTGTTTTCAGTTGGTACTTGGGATGGGTTGGAGGATCAAACAAGGCTTCACTAACATGGCCGGTGGGGGGGGGTCTTTCTCCTTCACATGACCTCTTCACAAGGCTAGCTTGTGTTTCCATAATGTGTGGATTGGTCTAAGAGTTCTTGGATGGTGTTTGGTTTTCAAGATAGAGGAAGTCAAAGCCGGCAGTTCTTATGTACACAACTCAAAATATTCTGCCACATTCTATTTGTTCAAGGTCACCCATGATTTCAGGAGAGAAAGGTGGTCTTCATTTATTGATAGGAAGAGTGCACGTGAGGTGGGGAAGATTTAAGGTGGCTTTTGGCTTCAAATCACATTCCTCCCAATAGACAAAATACTCTCACACTCTTACAGAAATATTGCCCTGCATCCCGGTATCAACTTGAAAGCCAGGACTTCACCATTTACCTCATGCCCGTGAGCCATGAGGCTTCTGGTGCAGTTCCTCATTTACCCTGTCCTTTGAACAAAACATGTGTACTTCATGTTGCTCTTCAAGGCAAGTTGTTGACTGGTGAGTCAGGAGCAGAAAGTGGCAGTTTATAGCCCTATTCCCAAAAATGGGGACTGGAGGCTGGGAGGCACATGGAAGTCAATGTTCCTAGCAATCCAGTGGTGGCCACGTGGATTTGACAACAATGGAAACAGATCATTCAGATCATAGGGTGAAGGGAAATAATCCTCATAAGCTACGATCCTTATACAATGTGGTCTTAAAGCTATGATATATGTCTCCTTTGTGCACATTATCACACTTTATTGGGCCCAGTGTAAGCAGACCAAGGATGTTTGCTACACCTGTCTGTACAAACACCTTGATTGGAAAATAAATATGGAACAAATTTGCAGAATGTATTGTTAAGGTTGTGACTGTGAAAATAAAAATAGCCCTCCATCTTCTGGAATTGTGAGTTGCAAAGAGAGAGTTGTGAGCACAATTCTGCTGTAAGTGGGAAATGTGTCTGTCACCTTCCAGAATGAGCCAGTGTTAGGATTACACAGTGAGGACTTTATTTCTCTCCCTGGACCACCTTTCCTGGCTTGAATTACTTATTTCAATGCATTGAACTAGAACTACAAAGTTATGGTTTTACCACTATAGGAGGGCTTGAGAAGATGCTTTAAAAAGATACTTTATGCCAAATTAAAAAGAGAAAATTACAACTCTATCACCATAGTACTTCCCTTGATTTTAAAAAAAGTTTATTTATTTATTTGCCCATACAGAAATGGAGTACAGCCAGAGGTGCAGGGGCAGCAAAAGGATTCACCAGAGTCAGAGGGGGAGCAGAGCAGGCAGATCAACAAAATACACTGCTGAGGGGAGCAGCGGGCGAGCAGGAGAGGTCTATGATGCCATGTGGGTCACCTCCGGGGCCGGGGTTCGAACTCGCTCTGCAGTCACCAAAGCCAGGCCTTCGCAGTGCAGCCTTCCAACCTGCTGTGCCACCAGGGAGGGCCTGTTTCCCTTGATTTTGAAAAGGCATGAGATTAAACTGACATTGAGAATTTTAAGTAGTTGATAAAGTATTTCTTCTAACAAATGGATTGCACAGATCCAACAGATCAGGCTAGGATTCTGTAAGAGCCTTCAAATCCTGGAATTCTGTGACTAGAGACTTGCAAAAGAAACTTACGTATCTCCCTTTCACTTCTTGGTGATTCTAGTATCCACAGATGCAAATGCATGGTTTTAAATCACACTTTTTTTTTTTTTTAATAAGGAAGAAACAATATTTCAGAGGGACTGGTTGACATAGTACATTTCCAAAATGAACTGTGAAAGATCATCTGCATGACTGAAAGCCAGGCTTAACCTTTGCGCTCAGACACCTCATTTCAAAAATGTCACTTTCTGCTTATACAATGCAACTGTCAGTGTACTATTTTAAGCATTAAAATTTGTGATTTGGAGCTGAGCAGGAATTATTGCTTCTATCTTTGGGCTTATTAGAAATAATTTAAAATTCATTCAAGAGCTATAAAAATCACCTTTTTATTATGGTTGAATTTGGCTAAATGTTGAAATTTGCAATGCAATTTTAATTTTTATTAGCAGTATTCAGCATCTAAGTATGTAGATCAAGACTTTTTTAAAGTATCATCTAAAAATGATATTTGTTCTTTAATGTTTAATTCCTTACAGTGACGTTAAAGTAGAATAAATGACAGGCCAATTCTTCTTAATATTTCAGACCTTGCCTTATATGGGCAAACTTTTAATAAAGCATGTATGACACTTGAGAATTCTGCACTCGCTTCATGAATTATTTGTTCAATACATAGACTAGGTAAAACTATATGATACTTGGAAAATAGGGAGGAAAATTAGTTTATCAGAAAGGAAAGTGTTTGTTTCTTTGATTTTTCCAGAGCAAACCATGAGATTACAAGTGGGGATGTGAAATGAGAAGCCAACATTGCCTAGGAAAAGAAGCCTTCTGATATTGAAAACATTAATCTGTTTATTCATCTGAATCATTTGAAATTTATTTGGTACTTTATTCTTTAAATAGTCTTCAATACTCTCATTTCAAATTTGGATCAATGCAAAGGAAGAGGACCAGGAAACAAAATGGGCTGGAATTCTGTGGTGGTGCCCACCTTAGATTCTTTTCAGCACACAGAGAAGGGGGAAGGGAAGACCTAGCTCAGATGAGAAGAATCCCCTGGGTGGGCATGGTTGGTGGGGCAAGTGCTTCAGCTGTAGCCAGCAGGTCATGCCTCAGACCAGAACAGGAAGGCAGTGTGCCAAGCTAATGCCCAGGGAATAGGTCGAATCAAATCAGCAGTTAGAGATCCAGACAGAAAGAAAAACCAGAATAACAGAGCACGTGGTAGAAGCCTCCCAGGAGGGTACCTGTATGAGCACCCCAGTTTTTAGCAATGCTCGCTCTTAATGTCGTGGCTTCTTGGGGTGAAACAGTCTAGGGAAGGGGCAGGTGAATATTACCATTAATACACTCGAGAAGATTTAGGGGCCTCCCTGGTGCTGGCCAAGGGGTTAAGTGTCAGCACTATGAAGCTATCAGTAGCCACTGCAGCACAGTTTGATCCCTGGCCAAGGAGCTGACCCACATGGTGCCCCAGATCTCTCCTGACATGCCCACTGCTCCCCTCAGCAGTGTACTTTGTCAATCTGCCTGTTCCACTCCCCACTCTGTCTCTGAGTCCTCTCACACACACCTGGCCCCCACACCTCTGGCCTGCACCCCAGCTCTTATAATGCACAAATAGAAACAAAATAAAGTATGATTTTAAAAGAAGATTGGAGAAGATTTACATTAATTATACTTCTTTTTTGGCCTAGAAGAACTGAGGTATAGGCTAAAGGTGCGGGGGTTGGAGAGGTCTGCTGCACCATATTGGGTCAGCTCCCTGACCAGGGATGGAACTCCGGCTGTCGTGGTGATAGTACTCGGACTCAACCCATAGGCTACCCGGGAAACCCTACATTAATACTTTTAGCAGCAAAGCTAGGTGAAGTATTACTGTGCCAGAAGATGAAATTAAACTGGTTGCACATCATTTAGCTGCACATGGTAATGAATATACCGTTACCTAAATCAGCTCGGGGTGCCCAAACAGTACCATAGACTGTTAACACAATAGTCATTTATTCTTTCACAATTCCACAATCAAAAGCCAGCATGACAGGTTTATGGTGAGAAAGTTCTTCCTGTGGAATAGAAGTTTATGTTCCTTCAGAAGGGGGACTTCCAGCAGGCTGTGGGAGACGTAGACACACTGATCTGTTGTGAGTTCCCACAGGTGTTTTTCCAGTTTACATGTTATTCTTTGGGTTATCCTTTTTAAAAACTCTTGAAGGGGTTCTGATGTGCCAGTGAAGCATATCCAATAAAGTCATGCCAAACAGCATTGGGAGGTATCATAAGAGAACTTATGAGCAAAAACAGACAAGTACACAAACAACGATATGTGGAGATTTGGAGATTAACTTGTCTACTTCATAAGATTTTCTCATCAATTTCCCCTGAAGTATCAGCCCTATCTATATCTGAACCAAGACAGAGATTAAGTCTAGCAAGCTGGGACATTTTTTTATCTTAAATGAACACAAAATGTGATCATATGTAATAGCCACATCATTAAAAGGACTTAATCCCTTTGTTATTATTATTTTTTTTTGACCATTTGTGCTAACAGAAACCAAGACTTTTTCCCCTGAGACTCTTTCTAGCTTAATTCTGGGAAGTTAACACTGATGAAATTTGTGACTGTTTTTATTCAACATGTTTTATCTGAAGATTTCTATTTAGAAATTCTAAGGCAAAAAGACAGCTAGTCCTGCTCTAATGCTTTTATCAGTGTTGGATTATGAATATTGGCTTGAAGATAAATATTACTAGTCTGTCATCCAAGGTTTCCTAATAGAGGAAAGAATTGACTTCTTGTGTCATTGAGAAAGGAAGCAGACAATTCCGCTCTTATCAAAAGCTGACAATAAGCCCAAGTGCAGTCCATTTTTGGGAGATTTCCTATAGAACTCATCTCTTACTTTCTGTCCCCCTTTCTTTTAGTGCCCACCAAGCCCAGACCCCACAGCGACGAATATTCCAAGAAGATCCCTCCCCCCAAACCCAAACGGAACCCAAACACTCAGCTTAGCACTTCCTTTGATGAAACCTACATCAAAAAGCATGGGCCCAGAAGGAGGTCGCTCACCAGGGACGCGTCCCTCTCCCAGGTTTGCAGCCCAGCGGGGGACCCTGAAGAGGAGGAGCCCGTGTACATCGAGATGGTGGGGAACATTCTCCGAGACTTCAGGAAGGAGGACGACGACCAGAGCGAGGCCGTCTATGAGGAGATGAAATACCCCATTTTTGACGACTTAGGCCAAGACTCCAAATGTGACTTTGACCATCACAGTTGTTCTTCGCAGTGTGCCACCCCCACGGTGCCTGACTTGGAGCTGGCCAGGTCCTCAGTGCCATGTACTCCCAAGGGTTTGCTTTGTGACATCCCCCCGCCCTTCCCCAACCTGCTTTCTCACAGACCCCCGCTGCTGGTGTTCCCGCCGGCTCCTGTGCAATGCTCTCCCAATTCCGACGAGTCTCCGCTCACCCCACTGGAGGTCACCAAGCTCCCGGTGTTGGAAAACGTGTCTTACATGAAGCAGCAGGCGGGGGCGTCGCCATCCTCGCTGCCATCTCATGCCTCCGGCCACCCCAAACTGGAGAAGGACCAGGGCGCCGCCCTCGGGCAGGTGGCTGTGACCTCTGTGCTCTCCTCGTCCCCGCCCCCGCCGTCCACTTTGTACCGAACGCAGTCTCCCCACGGCTTCCCGAAAAGCCACTCGGCCTCCCCGTCGCCGGTGAGCATGGGGAGGTCCCTGACGCCCCTCAGCCTCAAGAGGCCCCCTCCCTACGACGCCGTGCATTCAGGCAGCCTGTCCAGGAGCTCGCCAGCAGTGCCTCATTCCGCCACCCGCCCGGTGTCGCAAGATGGGAGCAAGATGGTCAACGCCGCGGTGAACACGTACGGCGCGGCCCCCGGCGGCTCCCGGTCCAGAACGCCCACCAGTCCTTTGGAAGAACTGACCAGCCTCTTTACCTCCGGCCGGAGCCTCCTGCGCAAATCCTCCAGCGGCCGGCGCTCCAAAGAGCCTGCAGAGAGTAAGTGGGCCCGAGCGGGTGGCGCGCGGAGGCCCAGCTCCGGCCAGCACCAGGCCCTGCTGCTCTGGGCTCCGAGGGGGGCGCACGTGGGCCCCAATGAAGGAGAGGGCGGGGGTAAGCAGATGGCCACCGGGCGGCTGTTGAAGCTCCTGACCCAGCACAGGAATGGTTTTGAAAGTTAAAGATCAAACCTCCAGCCTTACATGGGCTCTGGAAAGGCTCCCAAAGAATTGGTTACTGTGGAATTTGAGCTAAATATCTTGGAGAGAAATGATGCTCTAGAACATGGCACTGATACATGTTAAAATGTGTAAGTGTATCCGCTGCTAAGAAGGGTTAGAGCAAATTTGTATTGGGAAAACTTTGTTGGAAAGAAAGCAATTTGAGTCGAATTTAGAGCTTTAAACAACAACAACAACATATGAATGATGTTTTCTCACATGCTCATGTTCTGACCTTCAACCTAACCTAGAATAGGCTCCTGGTCGCCCTTCAGAGAAGCATGGTAGCGGCCATCTTACTGTAATGGTACTTTTCCTACATTCCTACTAAAATAAACAGGGGGTGACATCACACTAGCCACTGCGATTTAAAGACCAGGACACTTACCTGAGACGAATCATTTGGTGAACCCCAACTCATTCTGTAAGGAGATGGTTAAGCCCAAACAGATCGCAATTCCCTTCATGTCCACTTTATTAAATTACATGGCTTTCCCTTATTGAAAAGCGTTTTAGGCACTTAATGTGCTGATTAATAATTTACATCTCAAGTGATCCTAAGGCATGATTTTGTTACTTACCTATTGATCAGTCAATCAGGACTTTCCTTCAAGGAGAAGAAAACCTGAATATTTATGATGAAGATGAGGAAGACACTCCTTAGATAATTAATATTCATTGGTAGTTTATAAGCTACTTGTCATTTTTTTTCTTTCAGTGAGATTTACGAAAGTATTAGCTACTATCTAATTTCCCCTCAAAACATTGCGTTACAGCTGGAAAGGCAGCAATTTCTATTACATCAAAGTATGTGGAGTTACCTATATACATTTAGGCATATGTGAAATAAACTTTGAAATTATTTTAAAAACTTGAATTAAAGTTAGCAAGAACTTATCAATACTTCAAGAATAATGATCCTCAACTTGGAAGATTGGGCCCACAGAAACATTTGGAAATATGTATGGGGCTATTTTGGGTTGTCACAACTAGGGGATCTCCTAATGTCGTGTAAGTAAAGGTGAAGGGTGCTGCTTAGATTCTTATGATACACTCTCAGCTCACCAGCATTACCTCCAACATAGGCAGCCCACACTGTCTGTAGTGTCAAGTTGGCCAATTCTAAGCTGATCATTTATTCAGCTTCACAATTTCTCCCCGCCGATTGATTTAGTTTAAGTACAGACCAATTATTTAGAATACATTGGAGAGAAAAAAATACTTTAAGAAAATGATTTTATTCTCAAAATACATAATAGTGTGAAATTAGTAGAAATATCATTCTAAAATTGATGGAATTTTCCGATTTTCTCCCTACCTTTCAGATCCTTTGGGGGATCCTTAACTGTTCCAGCTGGCAGCTCTACCAATTAACTAGAAAAAGTATATGTAAAAGAAATGATTAACTAATGAAGTTATTTCAAGAAAAATCCATCTGTTAGAATCAGTCTATGTAAGATAGCGCAGATTTCTCCATCTGATTCCAACATGAGCTTTTTGTACTTCTAAAACAAAGCCTGTATCTGGGAAAGGGATCCTGCTCTTCACAGCTCTCAGGAGCCTGAGGCTTGATTCCTTTCCAGGTGTTATTAACCATGGATCCGCTCTTCAGAGGAAGGCCCTTCTCTGAGCGACTGGTATGTCAATATTTTACTTTCCATAAATGGAAAGCAGGGCAAGCGTTCTCTAATTACATTTAACTCTGCAAGAAAATAGATTCTATCAGATGCTAACAAAATGATAGGATCCTAGAATCTCCCAGTAATATGAAAGGGGAATCTATATATTTGAAGTCAGTGGTAGTCATTTTTAAAAATCCTATTCTAGAACCAGCAGATATAAAAAACCAAAAGCAAGAAGTAGATGCCAAATTTCGGACAACTGAGAGTTAGTCTGCTATTTCTACTGCAGCATCTGGTGATGGAATTCTCCCCTCCCCCTTTTTCACATAGAACCATCGGCATTCACTGATGCCATCGAGCACCACAAGAGGCAGTCGTGTGGCTCTAGTGTCTCCAGAGACTCAATGATTATTTTTCCCCATCTCAGGAACAAAGGTCGATACCTCTATTATCTACTCTACTCTAAATGTGACAAGGCTGCACATGCAGGGGGTTCTTTGGTTTGTGGGACTTTTGATACCAAACTAGAGGACTCTGTCTCCAAAGAGACAGCTTTTGTCCTTAGTTGCTTGCACCCTTTCCATAACTATGCAGTAACTTCATGGCCCTTGCCTATCCCGAGGGGAGAAATCACTCTTTTGATGATTGCCCAGCCAATGCTAGACAAGGTGAGTCCTAGCTTCTCTAATAAGTAACCGATCCCTTCAAGCAAGCAAGCAAGCAAGCAAGCAAGCAAGCAAGCAAGCAAGCAAGCAAGCAAGCAAACAAACAGTAACTCCAACAGGACCCGTGTAACATGCAGCCTAACATCACCTCTTTTTCCTTTTAGATTAGGGTTCATGTGTAGTTGATAGAATGAGACACTTATCTCTCAAAATTAAAAATACAACCATTTTCTGAGAGCATGTTGGCCTATTTAATTATTGCTTTTTTTTTTTTGAGCTAAAATTTCTTTGCAGGATGATGAGGTTAAATAGAGTACACGTAAAATTCCTTGATTTTGAAAATGCATGTGATTCCTTGTTTAATTGGGACTGTGACATTGTTTTTCTCATGCAGTTTCTCTGAGGATTGCAATATAGAATCACTGAAGAAGACATAATTTCATAAATAATTGCTCACCTTTCTGGGGGAAGACTGCAGCTGTCTTCAATTGATGTAGGCAGACGTGTTTATCGCCTGTGTTTATATTTTCTGGTTGCTGAATCTTTTAAGCACAATTTTTTTGTCAGCAATTTAATCAGCAATTCTCTCCATTAAGAAGAAACCCCCTGCTTTAAATTTATAAAAGGCAGAAACGTTTTCAATTCAGAAGTAAAACTACAGTGGTCTAATTTTTTTAACCAAGGTTTCCTCAGTTATATTTAATTTTATACACATGAAATATACCAGGTTGATATCTTTATCTGCTGTTGATATACCTCAGATTGAAAATTCAATTTATAATTTTTATTTAACATCATAGTTTGCAACTCCTTGATGTCTGTAAGTAACTCATTATTATGTGTAAGGAAGGAGTTCTGTGAGCGCCTTCCTTCAATCTGGCCCAACATTTCAGTTAAATATAATTTAGAAGGCTGAGACAGGGGCTTGTTATCCCTAGAGGTGATGTCCATATGAGCTCAACCATTAAAAAGCTTCGAGACTTTGAGATGAGTCAGTTCCTCCTTTAAGCCTTCATTTTCTCTATTTTTCAAATGAAAATATTAAATGGTAAAAACTGCATCTCTTCTGGCTCTGTTGTTTGAAGTATCTTTGGATCACTTGATGATCTGAAGCTCCCCCACCAAAGGGCTGGCTTCCTGACACTGAACTTAATTCCCCAGTAAGTCCATAAAACAAACCCCTCATCCTGGTTTAGAGTCTATATCCTTCACATAGTCTTTCTGACATGATTGTCCATGAGTAATCTCTCCCTCACACCTGCAGAAAGCCCTGTGCTTCTGTGTTGGCATGTGTCTTCATCTCACCCACTGTCAATCTTTATTTTTTTATCTTATTTTCCATTAGTACAAACAGCCAGCGAGGACAAGGCTACACATTTTTATCATTATATTTTACGTGACACCTAACGCAATATAACCTTCCCCAAATTTAATGCATGAGAAGTATTTATTGAACCTGTTGACTTAATAGGCCCAGTAATTTGAAGTCAAGGAGACAAGAGCCATTTGAGAAATGTTTGACCATTAAGTGGGGGGAAAAAAATCAGATTCTATGATTAGAAATTTCCCTGCTGAAATCAATATAGTTATTGAGCCAAAAAGGGAGCTATGCTGAATGCTGAATTCATTGGTTCTACTCTCAAGTACCCTGTTTAAAAGAATGTCCATTTAATTCTAAGTTGATTTATAAGGGGAAGGAAATAAAGACTATGGCCATAAAGCATTTAAACGTGGGCCATTTTGTGGATGTCACATCATCAGTTTTTGTACAAATGAATGAGCTGTGAAAATTGATCACTTCCCAACATTTAGAAATAGAAAGACACATTTTTAAAAGACAATAATAGAGACCAACATTATAAAAAAGGAATTACTAAAATTGAAAAGTAAAAGGACTGAAAACATTTTCCACTAAGTCATTTAAGCACCTCTTTGGCAGAAAGACACTGCATTAAACCAGAAACCAGGAGCTATTGTTCTGTGACTTGTGGTTTTGAATGTATGTGGTCCCAGGTAAAAATAAGTTTAAGTAGTAAAATAGTTTAAAAAAAAAAAGTTTTCTAGAATCCAATGAATGAGTGGCAATTCCAAATGGAATGTCTATGGGGGGCATTGTGCTTCTCACTGAAACATACTCTTCATTGTGTTAGCTGACGGGACCTAGATTAATTAAATGTTCCACTCCTGGTAGGATGACCAATCAACAGAAGAATCTGGGCTATTACTGTTCCCAAATGAAAGGAATAAGAATACTACAGGGAACCTAAGAGGAAAGAAGGGGATATTAGTAGCAAATAGATAGATTTTGATGCTAAATATCTATCTAGCCAGAACAGCTGGACTTCTGGGGACAATGAAACAATGGAAAATTTCAAATTCAGAATTCTGTAATGTTCTACTGATAACTGATGGTGGAGGAAACCTTTTCTCCTACATTTCATTGAGGTTGAGATTTCGTTCTATTTAATAAGATAGCATTTTATAATTTTTTG